TTGTTTGTTTATGCAAATACTTAAAAAAAAAAAAAAAGTGAAGTCAGATGATGTAATTAAAAGTATCCATCGACTCCTGCATTTACAGAGGGCAGAGGCGATCATCTCAATTTACCCAGAAGGCCACAGAAAAGCGGCTGTGATTCCCCTGCTGGACCTTGCTCAGCGCCAGGTTGGAAACTGGCTTCCCATCACCGCTATGCATGCTGTTGCCAAGATGCTAGACATGCCCCGCATGCGCGTCTATGAGGTTGCTACTTTCTACACCATGTTCATGAGGTAATGGATTCTGTTATTATTTCAGTTACTGTTGTTGTTGCTATTAGTTTTCCTATTGTATTGTAAAGACAGCCATTGTTTAATCGTTATTTGTCATTGCTGACTCTTTGTTCTTACCAGAAACCTGTTGGCAAGTACCATATCCAAGTGTGTACGACGACCCCATGCTGGCTCCGGGGGTCAGATGAGGTCATGAAGGTAATCCATGACAAACTAGGGATCAAAGTAGGGGAGACCACGAAGGACGGGCTCTTCACCTGTCTGAAGTGGAGTGTCTCGGGGCGTGCGTCAATGCTCCCATGATGCAGATCAACGACAATTATTATGTAAGTTGTGTAGGATTGATTGATTTTAGGTTGTTTATGAATTTTGTGCGGCACTTGGAATATTTCTGTTGTATGTCATTGTCATTATTTTTTAGTTATCATAAGTATATATTATTGTCAATGTTATTTTTGTTTGATTATCATCATCATCCGTTCCTCCTCCTCTCCTCTCCTTTCTCCCTTTCTCTTTCTCCTTTCTCTCTCTTTCTTCTCTTCTCTCCTCTTCCTCCTCCTTCCTCCTCTCCTCTCCTCCTCCTCCTCTCTCCTCCTCTCCTCCTCTTCCTCCTCTCCTCCTCCTCTCCTCCTCTCCTCTCCTCCTCTCTCTCTCCCTCCTCCTCCTCTTCCTCTCCTCCTCCTTCCTCCTCTCCTCCCTCCTCCTCTCTCCTCCTCCTCCTCCCTCTCCTCCTCTCTCTCTCTCCTCTCTCTCCTCCTCCTCCTCCTCCTCCTCTCCTCCTCCTCCTCCTCCTCCTCCTCCTCTCCTCCTCCTCCTCCTCCTCCTCCTCTCCCTCCTCCCCCCTCTCCTCCTCTCTCTCCTCCTCCTCCTCCTCCTCCCCCTCCTCCTCCCCTCCCCCTCCTCTTCTCCCCTCCTGATCCTCTCTTTTGACTTCTCATTCTCCACTTCCTTTGTCTGACTATTATTTATTTTGTTGTTGTTTTATTTCAGTTTTTATTATTATTGGTTATCATTTCTTTATTATTCAATATTGTTGTTATTATCATTTCTCTTGTGATTACTGATATTTGTTCATTAGTTTCTTTCATGGCTGACATCCCTATCTCATCCCATTACAGGAGGACCTTGAAGTGAAGGACACAGAAGAAATTCTTGACTCACTGGCAGCAGGGAAGGAGCCCAAGGCAGGTCCTCGTAGTGGTCGCTTTGCTGCTGAGCCCCTAGGAGGCCTCACCTCTCTCACCAGTCCTCCTCCTGGACCAGGATTCATGGTATGTAGGGTCTTATGTTGGGAGTTTGGATGTGGCGGCCTTTTGTTTTGGGTTCATGGTATAGTGTTGTGTTCTCTCTTTTTTGATGTCTATAGTTTCAAGATCTACATTACAGAGGAGGAATGACTGAATTTTCTAAGTTGAGTATGGCTGACTGTGCATTGGATTGGTTTTATTATTTTTCAATTTAAGAAAGGGTGGGGGTGAACTAATGAACTGTAAAGTTTGTGTGTTTTTATGTAATTTTAGTGAAATAATTGCCAGTGTTTGTGGTTACTTCAGTCTAAAAACTTTAGAGTTAAAACTTGCTAAGGAACTTCTATATCTCAACTATGTATTTATTATTGTAAATAATAATTGTCATACAACCAGTCTTGAAAATATTGAAGCTGTATACTTCTATTCCATGATGAAATTGATTTTTTTAAAGAACTGACACCAATTGTATTTTTCAGGTTCGAGATGACTTGTAAATTATATGTGAATGGAAGATCGTGGATATAAGGGGCTGAAAATCAAGCAGACAGAGATCACAATATTTATGGCTTGGCCATGATCTCATTATAGGTCATGTATAATTTGAGTTTGTATATAAATATATTTAAAGTGAAATGATGTTTGGGTTTATTTTCTTCCATACATGTTTTAAAAGAGTTTTCGTGCAGGGCATTAATATGAACATATTACCAGTCAGCACTACTGTTGTAGTTCAAGATATGTGAGGTGTTTGGACTGTGCAATGCAAAAATATTGTTTCATTTTTGTCCTTTCTATCTTTCTTGCTTTCTTTTGTGAATGAGTTCAATACATCTGCCATATCACTTAACCAGTAGACTGCCAATGGTGGATATATGTGATTTGTATTATCCTTTTAATCCAGAGCATTGTAAGTATTCCTAAAAAAGAATCATATGACAGGTGACAACTGATCAGGAGCTCATATTAGTCTACTTGTCATGGGTTAAGCATCTGTTTTCATTGCTATAAAAAAGTCTATGGCTTAGAACAAGGATACTTTTTTGAGTGCCATAGAGAAATATGAGAATTATGACATAGAATTAAACTGAATTTTGTCACACCTACAGTACCTATGGATATTTTCTTTTAAACATCAATAGATTGTAGTAGCCACTGACATCATTACACTATTCATAAATAGTAATAACTGAAGTAATAACCATGGAAGTTATTATATATTAGTCAGGGCCACAGAATAGAAAAGGTTGGGAACCACTGGTCTAGACTTTTTTTGGTAGAAAAGAAAAAGAAAAATGATAGTCTATACTACATAAGCAATTCTGTTATGAAGCTATGGTTTCAGTAATGCCGAAAACACACACATACTCCCCCCAAAAAAACATAAACAATTTGTATAACATGATTCCATAGTCATGTAGTGCTGGCTTTTATGCTTATATTTAAAATCTGGAGTTTCCTTTTGCTTTCTTTGTGATAACTAGCTCCTATATTTGTTTTGACAATTAGCCATCCTCTTACTTCTGCTACTACTACTACTTTTTTTTTTCCAGATCAGTCACAAATATCCTTCTGTTCTGGCACAAAGTCATGTAATTGGTGTATATCTCTGCTAGTGCCAGAAGTACATGTGTACTTAACCCCTTCTGGCAGTATACTTCCTTGTTTGTTAGTTGTTCTGTGTAGGCCTACCATCTTTTTTCTCATGATATATGTACAAATTCCCAAAATTTATATAATAGATATGGTGGATAATACATTCTGTGTAACACCTCATTTATTATAAATGCAGAGTAAATGATCAAGTTCTCTGGCTCTTTTGGCCTTGGCATTATTACCACCATTATGGCAAATGGTATGAATGCAACACTAAAGCCCAGATTTTGGTGTTGATTAGCATTATTATTAAAAGTTTGCCTTTGGATAATGGTGTAAGAATGTATATAAAACGGCTGGTTAAATTATAGATCTGCAGAATTTAACCAAATGACAAGTGCTGTGACAGTTATGAAAGAAGTTAGATGTCTTTGTCTGATGGGTTTTATTTTCACATTCACATAATTTATTGTAGTGGTAGAAAATTACCCCACCCCCATTCTAAGTTTGATTTACCTGCCCTTCTATTTCCTCTCTGCTTCCATCACCTTCAGTCATTTCCCTCTCCTCCATTTCATTTCTCCTTACTTTCTCAACCTATTTTTTTTTTTAAGCTTCCCAGGATTGCGTTATGCAGAAATTAATTGTCTGCATACAAGTCTTAACATCTGCTCTTTCCCTACATTCACACTCTTCTTCCAACACCATGACAAACAACAATAAACTGAGGCACTGAAACTTGATGCATACGTTCCTTTACTTCAAAGCTACCTGGCTTTTGCATTCGTCTCGTGCATTCAGGTGCTTCATCAGTTCTTTTTCTTTCTCATCCATTTTATTATAGCAACTCACCCATCTTTTTGTTTATCATTACTTAGTGTATGTCCCATATTTTCTGCAAACTCCTCATCCCACCACTGTGCTTCATCCTAAATTTGTCTGCAAACCTGCTTATTATTATTTATATCTGAAAATCTTGTTACACAGACATGGTCATGTCAGGGATAGATTTACTGTTGCAGGCGCCAAAGCTGAAAAGTATAATGGGCCCTATCAGGGTAATATAACACTTGCCTTTTGCCGTCAACTTTACTTATAAATTGTACATGTAAGTAGGCAACAACAATGAATAATGAGTGAAAGAATGTATTACTGAAAACACTGGATGAGAGAAAATAATGGCACAAATTTACATTAATGTACATTTTGGAGTAAGTGATAAACAAAATGAGCATTATGATGTTGGTTATATACAGTTGATGACCTTGTATCACATTTTAACAACATTGTTGGGGTAAAAAACAAGTGGGCTTACACAGGCATGCATACAAATATGTGGAATGCCTATAGTTATAAATTCACATTCACCATGAAAAAGTGAGAAAAAAATGATGATTTTCATGCATATGTAAGCTTAAAAAGGTAACAAGTTTTCCAAAAAGCAAAACATTCACATTGACAAGGGCAGTCATAAATAGAGCTAACAAATACAGACAAACCAACTCAGTCCAACTTAGTCTGTTGGTGCCAACTTTTTAACTGTTTATTAATAATAATGACTGTGGAGCTATCTGATGAAAACGGGAAAATGTTTACATCACATTCCATTAATATCAGTGTTCTTTGATGAACTTCCACTGACTTTTCTTGCTATCTTCTTTGTCAACTGTTTTTGCATACACAAATATTTTTCTTTATTCATAAATGGAATACTGTCATTTATAATGGTCATTTTTATCATATTTTTTGTTATATTTCCCTTCCATACTTCAGCAGCAACATAATATGCTTTTTCTTCTACATTACTTCAGTCACAGTCATATTTTACCCTTCTACTCTTCCACTATATTTTAATTTGTCATAATTTTTTACATTTTACCCACTTCTCATTTTCCTTCCAAGTTCTTATCACAGCATGTCCTTTCTTCTTATACTACTGATTTCTTTACACTATACTGAAGAGCCATTGTCAGCAGTCTCTAGCAGGTACCCCAAGGCCATATGCTTTGAAGTGGTAGATTAAGAATTCAAGAGTGTAAAGTAGACCCTCCTTCACATAATGGAAAGAAATGGTGGTGTCACTGCAGCAGCCTAACCCCTGGCAAAGAAAAGAAAAGTGTTAATTACACTGAAACTAGATTTTTAAAATGCTGTGTTGTAATTGTCTATATCAAGACAAAAATGATTAATGCAACAGCATCTATAATAAATTATGACAAGGAAGGTACCTTGAGATGGTTATGTGATTATGTGAGTGATTGTGACAAATGCTGTATGTTTAAAGTTGGAGAAAAGACAATTGCACTTCTAGTACTACCCTAGGAATTTCACATTGAACAACGAATTTCAGGATATTGCATACCATAGCTGTTGAAGTACATTTACAAGACAAAGTAATATGTAAAATGAAATATATTTACAAGGAAATACTTTTAATGGCCTCAGTAGCATCTAATTTGCTTTAGAAACCATTAACTAAGACTGCCCAAAATGGTTAAAATATTTCTAATGTACAAACACTTCATAACATTTTTATGCTCTTGGGAATACTACTTACCTGCTCGTGATCGTGAGCGAGGTTCTCCCAGTACCAGTAGTCGAGGTTTTTCATCTTAGGAACCACTACGTCCGAAGGAATGAAAGGGAAGAACCTGGGGCGTCCCTTTTCATCTCTCGAATCCCCAGGTCGGACTCCTGCTGCCTCCATGAAGTATCCTGAAGTAGGAGAGTTGATTATGTCGAAAGATGAAATTGTTAGAAAATGTATATACAAGGTTGTAGAATGGGAACTGACTTTGATCATGTAATTTTTCTGTAGTAATCGTAATTATAAGTGATTCTGCAGTCAATTCAGTAATCGCATTTCTCACCCATAGAAAACAGGTCGAGCATAATCTCAATAATTTGCATGTCTTGAAAAGTGATACTTGGCCACAACTAGAGCTAGTGAAAATCAGATGTCAATAATGATGAACCCGGAACAATTATCCACATCACTGGCGCAGAGAATAAATCTTAAAACCCGAAAAATGAATCAGAAACTCACCCATCTGGACATCTTCAGCCCCCTGGGAGTAGGCGAGCGTCTGGTTGTCCTGGCCTGCGTCCACGAAGGCTTGGAGGGCGCCGCGGCTCAGGATGTATCCTGCGCCGCCGCTCATGTATCCCTTGGGATGTTAATAATGATGGTTAAAATAATGATAATGATAATGATAACAATGGCAATAGTAATAAAAAATAATGATTATAATATTGATGAAGAAAAATAATTATAAAAAAATAATAGCAATAACAGTTCTAATAATAATGATGATGGTGATAATAATAATAATAATAATAATAATAATAATAATAATGATGATGATGATGATGATGATGATGATTGATGAATGATGATGATGAATGATGATGATGATGATATGATGATAATGATGATGGGATGATGATGAATATGATGATGATGATGATGATGATGAATGATAGATGATGAATGATAATGATGATGATGATTATGATAATAATATGATAATATAATATATAAATACAAAATCTGACATCCGACATGACACCTGCGGTACGATGACATCAAAATGGCATCCATAATAATACGGGACTTCCGGATCTTTGTCGTGCAGCCAGTACCTCAAATTCTCCATGATGAAGTAGGTGTCGTCATCGGCTTTCACAAACCAGTCGTAGTCGTTGTAGTAATGGAGGTAGGCGTGGCGAAAGGCATCCTGGGGAGGAATTAGAGTTGATTGTGGTGGTTATGGTGGTGGTGGTTGCGATCGTGGTGGTGACTGATTGTTGTGGTGGTGATAATAATGATGGTAATGGTAGTAATGAAGATAAAAGTAATGGTAATGATGAAAGTAATAATAATAATGATGGTAATGGTAATAATGATGATAAAAGTAATAATAATAATGATGGTAATGGTAATAATGCTTAGAAAAGTAATGGTAATGGCAAAAGTAATAATAATAATGATGGTAATAGTAATAATGATGATAACGGTAATGAAACGTAATTACAGTAATGAGATAATTAACGAAGAAAAATAAAAATAAAGAGACTCGGTAATGGAGATCCAGGTAAAAGCATACTTGGGGTCCACGTCCCGTTTTGTACAATTATTGCATTATTGTCTGAGTAATGACAGCTAGTGCGGCTTATTGAGATTTTAATATTCTAAGCGTGCTGTACACTGACCATTAACAATAGAAGTACCGTAATCATGGCCGCTTACTTCATTAGATTAACAAAGATCTTTTTTTTTTATGTTCGGTTGGACTAAAATGGATGCGGTAATACGTGAAGGGAATCTCAACCGACGCATCTCTTTGAATGTTGAATCCTTTCTTTGTGTTCGTTTTGCTTTCTTTATATGTGTCTTTCTTCTTTCTCTTTCTCTCCGCATCTTACTCCTCTTCCACCACCACCTCCTCCTCCTCCTCTACTTCCTCTTCCTTCTCTCCTTTTTTCGTTCTCCCCCCCTTTTCCTCTCATCTTCACCTTCTATCATCTTCATCCTCCTCATCCTCATTTCTTTCTCCTCATTTCCCTTCTTCTCCTCCTCCTACCTCAATACATCATTCCTCTCCTCACTCATTTCCTTCCCTCTTTCTCTTCCTCCTCGCTTTCCCCTACTCTATCTATCCTCTTTCTAGTTTCCCTTCCTCTTCTTCTCTCTTCCTCCTCCTTTCTTTATCCTCTTAATCTTCTACTTCCTCCTTTTCCTCCTCTTCCTGCTATTCATTATCCTCTCCTCCTCTCCTCTCCTCCCCCGCCGATAATAATACGGTTATGCATTAATCCCCAATGAATTATGACTCACGATCACATACACAGAGTCTTATACAAAACCCTTAATTAATCCACCTTCCAAACCGGCCACCACAGGTCCCTTACCCTCGTCTTGTTCCACAGTCCGCTCCGGTCGCCCATTGCGTGCGGGACGGTCAGCAGCGGCAAATCCAGCACGCTTTCGTCCTCCTCTCTTTCCTCTCCTTCTTCTTGTTGTTGCTTTTCCTCTCCTTTCTCTTCGCTATCAGGGTTGGTGACGAAGAGGATTTTGGTGCATCTCCGACCCCAGGTTCTGTAGATGTGGACGGCGTGCGAGGCGTGGTGGGCGGGGTACGTCACCACGAGGCATAGGATCCGGACCTTTTCGAAGAGACGCTGGGCGACGGTGCCGTCTTCGGGGGGGAAATGGTTGGGTTAAGGGGTGTCTCTGTCTTTTGTATGGTTGGCTGGCTGTTGTCTGTCTGTCTGTCTCTCTTCTTTTACCTCTCTCTCTCTCATCTCTATCTTTCAATCTCCTCCATCTCTGTCTGTCTCACTCTGATCATTTACTGGTTGATGAGCTGTAGTTAAGATTTGTAATTTAGTTTAATGATAGGTGTCAGATGTTCACACCCACCCACAAACTGTCTGTCTGCCTCCCTCTTTCACTCACTCTACACGCGCACCTATAAATGTGTGTGTGTGTGTGTGTATCTATATGTTTAAGCATCTATATAACTATATCCATATCTATCTAACAATATGAAAAGTGAATAAACGTATTAATATTTTTATATATATAGATATGTACATATATGTATATAATATACATATATCTATATCTATCTGTCTCTATATATGAATGTATATATATATATAGAGAGAGATAAAGATACATCACACACACACACACACACGCATATAATATTTATATATATAGGCACACACACACACACACAACACATACATTTTATATAACAGGCACACACACACACACACACACACATATACATATTTATATATACAGGCACACACACACACACACACACACACAACACACACACATACATAATATAATATATATAAATATATATAAATCATAATAATGAACAGAGTGGTAACTAACAACAAGTATCTCGGTGTCTGGGCGGCAAGCTGCGTGCGGGGAGCGGTCGAAACTCTGCGGGATTTTTCGCCACGTTTAGTTCCTGTGGCGATGGCTCTTGCACGCTGTTCTCCCAAGAGACGCCCATCACATCTATTGGGGAAAGTTAATGAAAGCGGATTGTCACTTTAGCGTATTGCAAACTTTATTTTTTTTTTTTTTTTTTTTTTTTTTTTTTTAGAGAAGAATGCGGAAGAACCACATCTCTCCCTCATGTATTCCTTCTGTGCTTGTGAATCCTTCAATTTGCTTTCTCTCTTCTCATTCTTGTTTCTTCATCACTCTTTCCCTCTCTCATTTACACACAACTCTGTCCCCATTTCTCTTTCTCTCTTCCATCCCTCTTTCCTCTATCTCTTCTCTCCTTCTCTCTCTGCTCTCTCTTTCCTACTTTCTCTCTCTCTCTCTCTCTCTTCTCTCTCTTGCACTCTATTGCCCTCTCTCTTTCCTACTTTCTCTCTCAACTTACCCCTCTGTTCCTGATGATGCGTGGCGCTCGGTAAGTAAAATGCCGCGGAGTGAAGGAGGGCCAGCGTCAGCCCCAACACAAACCCTCCAACAAGGGCCGCCAGGCACTGCATGGACCCCGAGCGCGTTCTCCAACAGTTCAACCCTCCTCCACTTCCCCGCCTAACACCTCGTTCTCCACCTCCACCTCTTCGTTCTCCGCCTCCACTTCCGTCTCCCTCAGTCACCACCATCTCTGTCCGGGGAAAAGCGCGGGAAGGGACGATTTTATTTGGGGTTTGGAAAGACCCGGATGAGGAATAGGGTGCTGAGGCGGCTTCCGGTTCGTTGGTGGTATTTGTAAATGAAAATGTAAAATGTAAAAGAAAAAAAAATCAAGTATCGATAGAGTGAAAGGGTTGATTAGAGGGATAATTTCGTTTATTTTGATCTTGTTAGAGGCATTTTCTTTTTTTTTCTGTCTCTGCTTGTTTTAATTCCTCTTTCTGTCCAGTAGATGCTATAACTTTTACTGTGGAATTATTAATCTTAGTTCCAACCTACTTTAGTCTGTCTCTGTCTCTCTCTCTTCCTTGAAGAAATAAAGTTCGAGAAATCTAAACCAATCCAGAGAACCATAAAACAGGAAACAACACCCAATAAATACAGAAATCGAAAGCTTTATGGCAAACCTCTCTTCTCTCTCTCTCACCTGTTTGTCTCTGTCTCTCTCTTCCTACCTCCCATCCACCACCCTCATTCTTTCCGCTTCTTCCCTCTCCTCCTACCCACCACCCTCTTTCCTTCTTCCCTCTCCTCCTCCAGACCCACCCCCCCTTCCTCCTCCCACCCCCCACCACACCCCCACCCGCTCCCTCCTTTCCTCTCCCACCCCACCCACCTCTTTCCTTCTCCTCCCACCCTATATGGCGTGTGTGGTGCGGTTAAGCGAGTGTGATCAACCGCCGGTTCTGTTTGTTTACAAGACCTCGGTCACACACTCGAAGGAGCCACATGTAGGATCCAACGAGAACTGCCGCTACTCTGTATCAAGAAGTAAGACAGTTGTTGTAATGATGATTGAGTAACAACACATGTCGATATTGCAGAGGGGGGAGAGGGAAAGAAGGAGAAGGAGAGAGGAAGGGGAAGGAGAAGGGAAGAGAAGGAGGAGAGAGAGGAGGGAGAGAGAGAGGAAAGGAGGGGAGGAAAGAAGGAGGGGGAGGAAGAGAGAAGGAGGGAGGGAAGTAGGAAGGGAGGGAGAAAAAGAGAGTAAGAGAGAAAGAGAAAGAGAGAGAGAGAGAGAGAGAGAGAGAGAGAGAGAGAAGAGGAGAGAGAGAGAGAGAGAGAGAGAAGAGGAGAGAGAGAGAGGAGAGAGAGAGGAGAGAGTCATAAAAGAGGGAAGGGTCAAAGAAAAAAAAAGAAGGGAAGGAGAAAAGAGAAATGAGAGGCAAAAACAAGAAACGGAAAAGACACGACCAAGAGAAAAAATGGAATGGTGGCGGGGGGGAGTGCGATGGCAAACAACTTGAACAACCAGCCAAGACGCGGCGAAAAAGGAACAAAGAAAAAAAAAACAAAAACATAGAAAAAAAAAAAAAAAACAGCAAACAAGAAAACAAAAGAAAGCGGAAAAGAGCTAAAAAAGGAAGAGAGAAAAAAGAAAAGACAGACGAGAACCAAAGAAGACTGCAATCAGCGATTAGGAAAAGAGAAGAGAATGGACACAAGGGCGGAAAAAAGGAATGAGACGAGCAGAGAGGATAGACAGAGGCAAAGAACATCTCACAACCAGACAGACAGGAAATGTAGCAAAAGCAGAAGAGCCAAAGAGAAAAGAGAAAGAAGAGAGAACGAAAGAAAGCGAGGAGAGTAGAGGAGAGACGAAGAGAGAGGAGAGAGCGGAGCGAGAGAGAGAGTAGAGAGAGAGAGAGAAAGGGAGAGAGAGAGGTAGAAAGGGAAAGAGACCGACAAAGAAGGGAGAGGAGGTGAGTGGAGATTTGGATAGAGGGAGCAGATAGATAGATAGATTGGATGGATGAATTAAATATGAGAAAGAGAGACTGACAGGCAAGTGAGGAGAAGGGAAGATGGAGAGGGAATGAATAGAGAAAAAGGACTAACAGACAGTAGGGATAAAGAAGAGGAAATAAGAGAGAGGGATAAAGAGAGATAGATAGTAGAATAGAAGAATAGAGGGATGAGGAGAGAGAAGAGAGGGGAAGAGGGAGGGAAGTATTGGAGAGAGGGGAGGAAGGGAAGAAAAGGAAGATAGATAAGAGCAGACGAGGAAGGAGGGAGAAGGAGAGAGAGACAAGTAAGAGGGGGAGGAGAGAGAGAGAAAGGAAAGCGAGGGAGAAGGAGAGAGAGAGGGGAGACTGCGACGTAGAAGGAGAGGATAAGAGAACGGAGAAAACGATTCACAGAACCGGAAGAGAAAGAGAAGCGGGACGAAGAGGAAGAGGCAGAGAAGGAGAAGAGCTCGTTATGAATAACAAGAGCAAAAAAATATAACGTAGATAGAAACAGCGAAGGAGGTAGAAACTACATGGAGAAGAGTAGAGGCACATAGATGAAAGACCAAGGGAAGGACAAAATAACAATAAACACGAATAGAAGAGAAATAAGAAGAAATAGATGGATCCAAAAAGAAAAGATAGAATGAAAAAAAGAACTCCAGTAAATCACTAATAAAAAAGATATATAATCAAATCATATCATACAAAAAAAAGAAAAACGAGTAAATAAGAAAAACACTACAAAGGAAAGGAAAGGTAAGAGGAAGGGAAGCAGGATAGAAAGAGGGAGAAGAAGAAAAACGAAAGAGAGAGGAGAGGAAAGAATAGAAAGGACTAAAGAAAAAGAGAAGGAAAGAAGAAGAAGGAGATAAAAGGGCAAAAGAAGTTAGACGATGAAAGGAGGGGGAAAAGAAAATAAACGGTGTGGAGTGCCTAAAAAAGTATAAGTAGGAGAAAAACCGG